GAGGAAGAGGAGGAGGAAGAAGAAATAAAAATTTTAAAAATAAAGTTTCATGACTCTCAAATTACCCATTAAAAAATGTTTGTTATCAGGACCAGCAGTTAGTGACTATGTTGCGTTGCTGGACTCCCATGTAGTTGACCGTGGTTCGAGTCCTGGACCCGGCGGCTTAAACTCACGCCGGGCGCGTGTGCGTGCGTGCCCAAGATCGAGAGGTGAATAGAGGAGAAGGGATTGCGGCGTGACCATCCCCCCTGGGGGTGATTTCTCGCTTTCTATCTCTCTCTCTCTGTCTGCCTGGCGAGCGCACGCGCCCTATAGCAAAAAAACTCTCCAAAAAAAAAAAGTTTGTTATTATGTTAACTTATTTTAAATTTTGCTATAGGGCAGGTGCGCTTGCCAGAGACAGAGAGAAAGATAGAGAAGGAACGTGAGAAACTAATCCTTGGAGGGGATGGCTACACCACAATCCCTTTCCCCCATTCTCCCCTTGGGATTTTGGGTATGCATGCGCACGTGCCTGGTGTGATTTTCAAGCCACTGGGTCTGAGACACAAACTGCACAGGTGGTCACGTGGGACCCAGCTACCTTAACCTCCCACACCCCCTGGGGGTCTGCTTGTTATTATTACAATTATTACTCCGGGAGCCGAGTCTCACTCTGGCATTAACTCTTGAGATCACCTGCACCACCCTTTCTAATTCTTGGTATTTGTGAACAACCAAAAAATGCTCAAGATCTCAGTCCTGCTATTGAGTCAACAAACTAACCGGCTGGTTAGACGCTTTAGGTTCTTTTCAGGGCTGGGTGTAATAAGGTATCCTACTCACTCCGACCGCACATGGGTAAATGCCATTCACACATAAGGGCTTCCTTCCAAACAGATTTTTTTTCTTCTTTCTTTTTCTTTCTTTCTTTCTTTCTTTCTTTCTTTCTTTCTTCTTTCTTTCTTTCTTTCTTTCTTTCTTTCTTTCTTTCTTTCTTTCTTTCTTTCTTTCTTTTTCTTTTTTTTTTCTTTTTGAGAGGTTTTTGCTATAGGGCACGTGTGCTCGCCAGACAGACAGAGAGACACAGAAAGCGAGAAGTCACCACCCAGGGGGGATGGCCATGCCACAGTCCCTTCTCCTCCTCCTCGGGATCGGGCACACGCACACATGCACCCGGCATGAGTTTAAGCCACCAGGTCCAAGACTCAAACCATGGTCGACTACGTGGGAGCCCAGCGACATAGCTGTTACGTCGACTGCTGGTCTCCCATAAAGACTTTTAAGAGTCCATTCAAACGTAAGCAAGCGAAGAGGCACCTTTCTCTTGTAACCTCATGCCTCACCTCCCCACTTTCACACAGCACACCAGATCTTCGCAGTGACCCTGCCCGGCTAGGGTAGCTGCAGGCCACCTAGATGTGAACAGAAACGTGGGGACTGAGGCCTGGGGACTGCCGCCAACGCCACGCTCTTAGTCTCGACGGGACGTCTGCCAGGAAGAGTCTGCTCTCCCTAGTAACGACACGGCTCCCTGAGGAGGCAGTGCCCTTGAGGTGAAGCCACACTCATGTCTCTGGTCACCCAGGAACTGGAGAGTCACCCGAAAGAGTGAAGGCATGGTCTTCCCGTGGCCTTCCTGGAGGGAGTGACTGAAGGCTTTGAAGAGTGGGCCCGAGCCAGCTGGTTCCCCGCCAGCATTAAGCACCACCGAGTCCCACACGGAGACGTCCCTCACGGGCAGCCCTCACGGACTGCGCCGTGTGTAACAGGGAGTTGATCCCAGCGTGCACACCTGGAAGGGCATGGAGAAGGGACACGAGGAGGTCATCGGAAGCCTTCCGAGGCTCACTGTGCTCTTAGCCAGCTTGGCTGGACCCCCGCGTAGCCCGTGCAGCCATTGCTTGTGTAGAGGCAGCTCCCACTGACAGGGCCAGGGCAGCCGTGTGCAGGGGTTAAGCTGGAAACCCCTTGTTAGCCCAGGCAGTTACCACGCACAACTGTGGACAGCCACGATCGTTTCTTCCCTCTTACCCTCACAGAGACAAAGGGTTAGTACGCTTTTTACCTGATAGTCAACAAGTTAGGATCTCGGGTAGGGGAGGAAGAGCTTGAATGGCAGGTTAAAAAAACAAAACAAAACAAAACAAAAAACAAAAAAAGCAGGAACAAGCAGTTAGCATAGTGGCTATGTTGCTGGACTCCCATGTAGTCGACCACGGTTCGTGTCCCGGACCTGGTGGCTTAAACTCACACCGGGTGCATGTGCGTGTGTGCCCAAGATCCGGAGAGGAGAATGGAGGAGAAGGGATTGCGGTGTGGCCATCCCCCCTGGGGGGTGATTTCTCGCTTTCTGTCTCTGTCTCTCTCTGTCTTTCTGGTGAGTGCACGTGCCCTATATCAAAAACCTCTCAAAAAAACCCCCACGACAACAAAAACTGCCCTGTTCTGGGCCAGATGGTGTGGTGGTGAAAGCAGCTGAATCCCACATGGCTGCCAGCGTAGTTTGAGGTCTGGACCCAGAGGCTTGAAAAATACACCTAGAATGTTTGTGTGTATTTGTGTAAATGCTCAAGAATCCTAGGACAAGAAAGAACTGTGGCATGGCCATTGCCCCTAGGGGTGATCGCATCACCCTCCCCTAGCCGAAGACTCCTGCCCCATAGCAAACAAAAATTAAAAAAAAAAAGACAGGGAAGATTTTATGTTTTCAGTTTCTGCTATAGGGTATGTGTGCTTGCCAGGAACTGCCAGAGAGGGCATGTGAGAAATCACCTCCCGGGAGAGATGGCCACGCTGCAGTCCCTTTTGTTCCAGTCGCCTCCGGGGATTTTGGACACACACACAGACACATCCATTCTTCAAGCTGCCAGGTCCAGGAGTCGAACCGCACAGTGGGCCATGTGGGACCCAGACACCTTAGCCACCATGCTACCTGCTGGCCCATAGGAGAGGAAGGATTCTGTACTTGTTTTAATCATCTCAAGGGGAAGGCCCAAATAACACGTGAGCCTCTCCCAGAAGCGTCCCAGTCCCCAGTAGAGCCGGCGTTCTCTCGTGCGAGGAGAGCGACACTTGGGCAGGCCATGCCTTTTATCCGCGTTGAGCACACCGTCTGCGCCGCCGGGCCAGTGGGGGTCACCGCTCGAGCCCCGACCTGTCTCCTGCCCGCCAACACGGGGCACGCGGTGTCCCCACTCAGCTCCCGCAACCTGGGTTTGCGGAATCCAGACAGTGCCGGCCCCGGCGGCAGACTTGGGCGTCGCGGCAGGCGTGGGGCTCCCGGGGTTGAGCGTGCCACATTTCGGGGTAAGCCATCTCCACTGCCCCCCTCGCAGACGTGCTGTTCTTCCACTTCCTCGAGCACGTGACCACCATGAACCGGATACAGATCAAGATGGTGTTCGACATGCTGGACTGGAGCGCCGTGGGCGAGATCGGCTTCGACCAGTTCTACGTGTTCATTTGCATCCTGCTGTCACACCAGGCGAGTGGCCGCGGGGCGCGCGGGGCGGCCGGGGGGCCTGTGGTGTCAGCGCAGAGGTGGCCTCGAATTAGGGGCCCCCTTCCTTCCGCTGCAATCCAGACGGCAGACACGGCCGAGGGGACCACCCATTTCTGCTCCCGAATGGTCCGTCCCTCTCAACCACCCATGCCTCCCGCAGCCTGCCAGCCTCCGCCTCCCACGTGGCCCCACCCAGGACCTTCCTCAGTCCCTTTGCTTCCAGAATTTTCTGAAGGTGGCGAATGATGAAGACAAGAAATGCCTCTCTTTGGGGTCCCTTCTTCTTTGGGGTACACGCTGCTGCCTGCAGTGCCTGTTCCCAGCCCTCGAGGAAGGGGCCATGTGTCACGGCTACCACCAGCATCTCCATGCTGTGAGGGCTCTTCCCTGAGTGCGAGGAAGCACCATCAGAACTGATGACCGCAAGTGGCCCAGGGCCCCTTGGGAGCAGATGACGAGGCAGGACTTGAGGCCCTGATGGTGGGGCCTTTTCACTCCAAGCATCTGTGACTTTCTTTTCCTTCTCCCCCTCCCCCTTTAGAGAGATTTTGCTATAGGGCATGTGCAGTCGCCAGAGACAGAGAGTGAGAAATGACCCCACCGGGGGGGATGGCCACACTGCAATCCTTCCTCTCAATTCTCTCAGGATTTGGGGCATAGACACACATGCGCCAGTATGAGTTTCAAGCCACCGGGTCTGGGACTCGAAACACAGTCGGCCCTGTGGGAGTCCGGCAACGTAGCCATTACGCCATCTGCTGGCCCTGACTTTGCTTTTCTTTGGTAGGAGAGAGTTTTGCTACAGGGCACATGCATTTGCTGGAAAGACGAGAGAGTGAGAGATCCCTCCCTCAGCGTGCGGGAACGGTCATGCCACAATCCGTTCTCCATCCACTCCTTGGGACTTTGGGCATGCACACACACACACCTGGTGTGAACTTCAAGCCTCGGGGTCCAGGACTCAAACCATGATCGACCATGTGAGGGTGCAGCGCCTTAACCAGCATGCCACCGCCGGCCCGCTTTGCCTCTTGTGTTTGGCTCTCTCAGGAACGGGCTGGGGTGTGGAGTCTGAGTCTGAGCAGCAGCCACACACAGCCCTGGCTCACCTCCCCCCACAGAACCACCTGGAAGAACAATTTCTGTACCGGCATTCCCGGCCCGTGTTTGACCTGCTGGACCTGGACGGGGAGCTGAGGATCAGCAGGAGCAACTTCCAGATGTACCGGTTCCTCTTCAACATCAAGAAGCAGGAGCTCCACAAGCTCTTCCGGGACTTCGACATCACGGGAGACTGCGTAAGAGCAGGCGAGTGGGGAGGACAGAGCCCTGGCCTGTCTCCTTGCCAGAGGGCACGTAGGCTCGCAGGAGGGGCAGAGACAGAGAGGGAGAGAAGTCGCCCCCGCGGGGGAGGGCCGCACCACAGTCCCTCCCTCTCAGGGCTCTGGGCACACATCCACACACATGCCCAGTGCGCTTTCCAAGCTGCTAGGCCCAGGACTCGAATCTGGCAGTCAGCCATGTGGGATCCAGCTGCTTTAACCACCATGCCACGTGCTGGCCCTGCAGCAGCCCTTTTCAAAAGCAGAGGGCAATGCCTTCTACCTAAGTGCAGTTGGGTGAGGAGGAGAGTGGCAGATACTAACTACTCCGGTAAGTATCGAAATATTACAAGACACTGGGGCCAGCAGGTGGCGTGGTGGTTGAGGTGCTGGACTCCCACATGGCCAGCCACGGTTCGAATCTTGGACCTAAGGGCTTGCTTTCTCACTTGCCTTCTCCCTGTGTGCCTTTCTCTGGTCAAATGAAAATGACTAAATGAGTAAATAAAATTGCATGAATGATTTTTAAAAAGATAAATAATAACAAATAAAAATTTTTAAAAATCTTAAAAATATAGATATATATATTACATGGCACTGTGGCCAAAAACCAGACTAGATTATGGGCCCTCGGAGAAAAAGGGCTCAGTACTACATTTGCGAACAAGCCTCTGGGGCCGGGACTCGAACTAGAATGAGAAAGATTTAGAGAGAGAGCCAGGGTAAGCCAGCAGCAGGGGCTGTTGGGGGAAAGGTATAGATTCGAGCCAGTAAGAGGAGATTCCAGGACGCAGTGTGTCAGCACAATGGCCAGGGAGAGCCGTGGCGGGGACAGGACCCGGCCTGCTCAGAGGCGAGTGGGGGGTCAGACATGGGAGATGCTGTGAGGGGCCTGCCACGCCGCCTGCTTGGTCTGGGCTGGGCCCCGAGGAAGGCCAGCCCGGATTCCGTGGGCCCCTACAGCAGGCTCCCTGCCCCTGGGGACGGGCTCCCGGCAGACTGTAAGTCTGTTACCCACCCTCTAAGTTTCCTGGATTTGAGTCAGAGATGAAGACACTCCTGCTGTCATTTGAAACAAAGTATCAAATCCTCCCTGAAATAATTTCTCTTTTTTCCCACCGAGAAAGCGTCTTAATTACAAGGAATTTAAGCTGTATACTATCTTCTCCACCGACAAATTCCAGAAGAGGAAGAAAGCAGAGAGAGAGAAAAGCGAGAAAGAGCGAGAGAAAAAGGACAAATTTCTGATGCTAAAGAGATTATCACATCAGGTTTATGACATGAGCCTGAAGAGACTGTGGAGAGAAAAGGAGGCGTGAGAGGACCCCGTGCTGGGCTGAAACTGTCAGCATATCCAAAGTAAATGCAAAGCGTCAGGACCAGCGGCTTTTCTTTTTCTTTTTTTTTAAGGTTTTTGCCACAGGGGCATGTGTGCATGTAAAACATAGAGACAGAAGGAGGGAAGGTGGGAAATCATCCTCTGCGGGGACGGTCACACTACAGTCCCTTCTCCATTCTCGTGGTGGGATTTCGGGGACACATACACATGCATCTGGTCTGATTTTCAAGCACTCAGGTCTGGGACTTGAACCATAGTCAGCCATGTGGGAGTCCAGAGCCTTAACCACCACACCACCTGCTGGCCACTCCAGCAATTTCTCCCTTTTTTAATTCTTTTATTCATTATTATTGTTACTATTTTAATTTGCTATAGGGCACGTGCACTCCGAGAGAAAGCGAGCAGCTTCCTAGTTTTAGTAACCTGCTGGCTCCCGGCAGAACTCCCAGTACTGCGCCCGCCCTCTCTGTGAGGTGCTCGGCTCTGCGGCTGCTTTGCAGATCCCCTCGCTCAGTGGCTTCCTGGATACCCACACAATGCCCAGCATTTACTGCTGGTAGGCCAGGGACAGTGGTATAAACATTCTAAGAATCCTTTCTAGTTACCAAGTCTTTAGGCTAAGGCCTCCTGGATGCCAGAGACTTCAAATGGGCGAATGGAGAAATGCCTCTGACCACAGTTGAGTTTTTTTTTTTTATTGCCATACGGTGTGTGCCAGATCCCACATGGCCAACCACGCAGTTCTAGTCCCATTCAGGGTACGTGTGCTTACAGAGAAAAGCACTCTCCACGGGGCATGGCTACGCTGTAACCCCTTCTCCTCCTCCCTCCAACCTGACGGGATTTGGGGCATGCATGCACACATAGTGGTTTTAAGTCATGGAGGCCTGGAGTCAAACTCTGGTCAGCACTGTGGGATCCAGCTTTCTTAATTTTTAATTTTTTTTTTTTGCAATAGTGCACATGCACATATTGGAGAGGCAGAGACAGAGACAGAAATCGAGAAATAATCACCCCCTAGGGGGGATGGCCATACCACAATTCCTTCCCCTTTATTTTCCTCTTGGGATTTTGAGCACACACATACGCCTTGCATGAGTTTCAAGCCGCCAGGTCGGGACTCAAAGCGTGGTTGATCACATGAGAGTCCAGGGACTTGACCACTACACCACCTACTGGTCAAGCTACGAAGACGGCCCAAGGGAAGTTGACTTTTAAGGATGTGAAGGCTGTGTTCTTTCCAGAACCTCAGTCACTCTGTGAGTTAGGTGTCGAAGCAACTCTAACAAATCTTTTAGGGTGAAATAAGTCTGACATGTCCTTGAGTAATGTTAACTTTTGTATAACTAACGATTTAAATAATTTTCTTTAAAAAATACTAATTTCACTTACTATTATTATTATTATTTAACTTGACCAGAGAGAGAGAGAACGGGAAAGAGAGAAAGCAAGCCACCAGGTCCAGGACTCAAACAGCAGTCAACCATGTGGGAGTCCAGTGCCTTAACCACCACACCACCTGCTGGCTCCAGATAACTTAAAGGGGCCAACAGGTAGCACAGTGGTTAAGGCACTGAACTCTTACATGGTCAAATGCAGTTTGAGTCCCAGACCTGGCAGCTTGAAAATCACACCAGTGAACCCAGCAGATGGTATCGTGGTTACATCACTGGACTCTCACATGGCCGGCTGCAGTTTGAGTCCCAGACCCCTGGCTTTAAAATTAAGCTGGGTGCATATGAGTGCATGCCCAAGATCCAGGGAGGAGAATGAGAAGGGATTGTGGTGTGGTCTTCTCCTGGGCATGTGTGTGTGATTTCTCACCTTCCCTCTCACTGTATCTCTGTCTATCTGCTGTGAGGGCATGCACCCTAAGGCAAAAAAGAAAAAACGCGTCATGACTTTTCCAACAACTGAATACTTCCATATTCAGTGAAGTTTGACTTTGATGAGTACACTGAGGAGTACTGGACTGGGAGTCAAGCCAT